TGTGAGCATGTTTTGATAGATTAGGTTATTGCTTTGCAAAATTCTTTGCTTCGCGAAATTCAATGTTTGACTTAAACTCGGCCAAGTTTGGTGTCATATAACCCGAAATATTTTATTAATCCGTTTTTTAAACGATTTTCGGAGGGTGTGGCCGGCATATTTCGTTTTCATCAGAGTTGAATAACAGCAGGGTTTTTGTGTAATCATGATCCAAGAGGTGCAAAATTAGCCGTCGATAAGTCCCTAAGGGCTCCTCTGCAGACAACCAAGTTCAATGCATGTTTATATTTAAGTACATGTGTTCGTGCTTAGTTGGGGCATACGTTTTAAATCAAGTCTCACACCGTTATCGACAGCATTGCATTGATCGTATAATCAACAATCGCTGAGTAATACGACCCCCTTGTCGACTCTTGCAGAAAGAAGAAATTTACTCCAAACAGACCAAAAAACACTTTAAGCAGCCTCAGGGCCCTTAGCCGTTTCTTCATCCATTTCACTTCTCCAACTTTCGAAAATGGAGCCAACTGTAATTCCCACCTTGCCAGAATTGGTTGCGAGCCCTCATACACCTCCACAACGATTGGTGTCAAAACCCCCACAGCCAAATGGGCTGCAATGGCACTTACCGGAATCAGTGCAAAGTATGGCATTGAAACTGAGCTATACATTTTTATCGTCGCAAAGTTTAGCAGTACGCACCATACCCCTGTCGTCGACATCATGACGGCCGTCGTGGTTGCAAAGAAATCATATAGTAGTGTCATGATGAGGTTGAGCTGTGTGTATTGGGTCAATGTTTTCTGAACCCTGCTCACATTTAGGGTAAGTGGGCTACGAGTAAGAGCCGTAATGCTGCTAAAGATAAGGTGAAAAGCGACAGTGGACGAACAAAATACATGGGCAGCAATGCGATTGATTTCTACCGTTGCGACCATGGTTACTAGGATTCGGTATGGCAGTAGTACATAATTCCAAGGATAAATGTCGACCAGTTGGCTAAGAGGTGATGGCAAATATTTCAGGCAGATGTAAACCGGGTCAAGTTCGACATAAGGGCCGAAGAATCCCGCCGTGAAAGGAATTGTGGCACAGTTGAGGACCATGTGGTTTAAGACAATTCCAAGCAGGTCGAACTTAGCAGAGGGTTGGCCTTTGGATTTTGTGTCTAAAAACATCAAAGGTCACACTTTTAGTTGAATATAACGCGTCTGAATTGCCTTAGACAACCATTTTTGGCTAATATCCAAACAGCAAATTGACATGAACTTTGGTTGGGATATGTTGGTCTAATTGTTAAAATTACAATGGGTTCCAGAGACCCACAGATTAAATGCTCATGATTTTTTTAATTCGAAATTTTGGATTAATTTTAGCCGGGATATTAGCTAAAATTTAAATTATTTAGAGTACAAATGTTTGGTAGGATAGTAGAAAAGACGACCCACCAATTTTTGTAATCCCAGCCTCCATCTCTTTCAAGAAATTGAATCCTGTCGCGAACTCTTTGCCGTAGAATAATGTGCTAGCCTCAATCAGCATGAACTGTGAGATGACGAGGTAGAAGATGTTTGTGACGGTAGGGACTAATGGCATGGAAACCCACCCATAGATTTGTCCCAGAACTAACGCAACAGGTAATAAGCGTGCTACCAAACAAAAAGCTATTGCCACTGTCCAGGGAATTAGCTTCTTGCAGAAGGGGATATATGTATACTTTTTATATTTCTTGTCCCAACTAAGCGGGCATGGCCACACGTAGGCAAAGTAGGTGGTGAAATTGTCCAGGGACTTCCACATAAGAGGTGTCACCACCATCCTGAGTCAAGAAGCAAATACTTTTTGCATCATTTTTGAATAGTATGTTCGGATGAAAATTTGACAAGGCGACAAATCCGAAAGTTTACCTGGTGTGGTGGAGCACCGGCCTCCTCACGTTCCTCCTGCGATTCGAAGAACAGTTAGTAGTTCACCAAGTCTGCATAATTTAAAGAGGGAAGTGTAATTTATAATTAGTAATTGAGTTTCTTTGAAGAATTGTAATTATAATTTCTAATTTGTAATTTGACGTCCGAGTAATATGACCAGCTCTGTAACCTATTAATTATGGGTTGAAACGTACTGCCCAAGGTCTCCCTGGGTGGCGGGGTTTTACTCAATACTGGAAATTAACAGTTATAACGAAACGAACGTTTGATTACATAATGCGTGAATTTCTTGAATTTAGCAGGATTCACTATAAAATTTCAATCCAAATTTCCAGTAGAACCAGTAACAACAATGTGATACAACTATAGTTCAAAGTTAGATCTATAGATCATATAAGGGAATTCGAAAATTTGATAATGATATTTTGCCAGGTAGAAAAAATTCGATACCATGATATTAAAACTTTACTACCAAGCCATTACCACGGTACAACGTATTATCACCAGTTTGATAGAGCCATATACTTATGCTTTTAATGTTTATTACCAGGTTAATTACATTGTATGGTTCATTGAACAAATATATTTTTATTATGAAGCGTATACTGTTAAATCAGAGAATATACCTGGACCACCTTCACTTACTTTCCTTCATAGGAAATAGGATTTCAACCCTTCTTTTCCACATGTGCAGCTTTACGAATAGGAAGAATGGTATTTATTTACAAAGTTATTAACCATGTTCATACTCATGTTCATAAATACATATAGCATAAAACTTTCTGACACAGTTTTATCTAACGTGACAATGTTTCTTCTTATTTGAATATTAATGGGAAAATTTGTCTGAAAATGAAGGCACGAAAAACTGTAGGATTGAAAATTTCAAAGCGTTTATTCCTTCCATTAAAATTTTTTCAATTTTTTAAGTTACCGAACACACAGCAAACTGGTAGGCATTATGCAGCGATAGAAATTACCATATTGGGTAATTTCCTTCAAAATTACCATCTTGAAGGAAATTATTATTATTAGAATTACCATCCATATATGCTTAAAAGTTTTAATAATTTTTTTATATACCAGTTATCTCCTAATCGAGCATAAAGATATACATTTACATACAAACGTATTTCATTATAGTTGACTGCGGATTTACAAGTATTAATAATTTAAATTTGTCTGGATGTCGAGTATGGATTTTTAGCTACAGGGCGTATTTATCCATTTGGAAAATCTCTAAGGGTCTTACACAAAGCGTGTGATCGATTTTCAGGAAATGTTTACCCATACCCCGATGTGTGCACTCCGGTAAAGTCACGCAGGTAATGATTTCTCGGTAATAAATTTGGTAATAATATTTAACCAGGTAGTAGAAATTCGCCTCAGTAATGGTAAAACTTTGTTACCAAGCCATCAGCACGCGGTACAAGTTAGCATTACCACTTCGGTATAGTAATACATATACTTGTGCCTTTCTGCAATGCTTACTACCAGATTATTTACAATATGACCTATACGCACTACGTTGTAACTAACATAAGAACGATAAGATACCTGGATCTCTATCCCTCCCTCTGTTAAAATCTCTTACATGCTTTCAGCAAAATCCGATACAAATGTAGATATGTAAATGAGTACCTTAAGCTTCATCCATCAAAATCTTGTCAACAAATGGGCAACCCTTCTTCTCAACATATGTGTATGTTTCCTTGTCCTAACGGAAAATACAATTTTTTTAAGAAATTATTAACTATGTATGTGTCTACTCTTATGGATATATGTTTCACCAAAGTTTCTGAAACAATTCTACATAAGGGCTCTTACCAAGTTTGTTTCTTGCAACTAGATTAAAGTTAAATCACGGCAAACTAACTAAATACATGAAAATTTCAAACTTTTCTTACAGTCTGTGCTTTAGAATTTTACCTTGTACTAAAAAATGTGAAAGTGTGGCGAACTCAACGCAAACTGGTAAAAATTATACGGTAAAAGGGCTTACCATCTTCCCGAAGGAAATTAATTTTTACATCCTTGAATATATATGCCTAATACAATAATTCTTGACAAAAATTAATTATTTATTAAGAAGGTAAATTTTTTAATAATTTTATTTCTTAAGGTAGGTAAACCTCCTTAATTCGCTTATTCTTTATTAATAACGGAAAATTCAACGTTCGTATTTACATATATTTCCCTATAAACCTATATAAACTGAAGTTGGCTGCGTATTTACAATCACACAAATTTAAATTTTTCTATGTCTGTTAGGCATGAACATTGATTTTTCATTACAACCATGTTTCATCCATTGGGGAATTATTGCGAAGCGTGGATTTGGAAAAGTTATATACACATATGTATTAAAACTAAAATTAGGTAAACACAAATAATTTTCTACTCTATAAATTATCATACACAAGGGGCTTATACAAAGCCTCAAATAAAGCTTACTTAGTTTACCTAGTAAATGTAAAATTGAGTGCCTATAAGGAAACGGTCACCATGGTTACGGCGTTGTTTTTGCAGATACTTTTATGTGAACCCTTTGAAAAAATCAATCGCAATTCCTACATTAAGCGCAGAAATTTTAATTGTTTCGACGATGAAAGCTGATCCAAATTTTTTGAGTTCGTGTTAATGCTAGTATAGCTGCAGGAGAGAATTTCAAAGATATTTCTCTACAATAATCATTGTTACTTAGTTCCAATGTAACTCGATTCTTGGCGGAACTTCAAAAATTATCAAATTTAATTCTCTGCTTAGTTTAAAAAGAACGATTTTTTTAATTTTTCATTGTTCTTAGAAAACTGGAAGACTTTGAAAAATGTAATGTTTTCAAAAAGCCACTTCTATACCACTTTGGTAGAGTCAAATATGTACTTGTGCTTTTCGGTTATGGTTACCACCAGATTATTTACAGCGTAGGCAGAGTGAGCTAATTAAGTCTCGGAGAGAGCATACTCCTACTACCACGTCTTGCACATTTCTCGAAATTGAACCTAAGGCAGGCAATATTTATTTGTCGAAAGCTTTGTGAGGGAAAATAAAACTTTAATCTATACCAAAAAATTCTCCTCCGGCACCGTTTCACAACATATTTATTTGCATATTTATTATGTAAGTATCTAAATTAAAGACAAAATGTTTTTTATTGTTCTTCAAACTATAAATATGCTTTTTTGACCGTATGGTTGTGCTTGTGGTTGTTGCCCGTACTGTGGTGGTTGTTGTGGTTGCTCGTACCCTGCGGGGGGCGGTCCTTGCATGTCTGAGAAATTTATAATTATTACACACATATTAAATTATTTTTAATTTTATGTAAAATTTTATGCAAAACACAGAAAACATGTATTTCACACTTACAAACCACTTGGGTCTGTGGCTGGTCCCGTTTCCGACAAGCTGCAGAACAACAGTAACCACAACAGAAGCAAATTCCCAGTGGGATAAAGACGAAGATGAGTTCGGCGATAATTGAAATGACAATTGTCCAACCGACCCTGTAATATAATTAAGGCTTAAAATGACAATCTCGAAATTGCATCATGTGCCAAATAAAGGGGCTAAAAACTAGGATTTCCACGCTCAATAACAAGATTACCCTTTTGAAATACACTTAAGTGTAGAAGTTAACTAAAATACGCTAAATCCAGTCAGACTGACTTAATAAAAAGTAAAGTTTAGACTGGATTGTGTATAATTTTGTAAATTTAGAATATTACAATGCATTTACTGTTCCAAAAGGTTATTCCTACGAGTGTTTAATTTCTCCAGGACTGGTTTCACAAAGTCAAATTTTACATGTTGCCGACGATTTAGCGGTTATGCATACTTTGAGAAAATTAAATAAAAAAAATTATATAAAAAGCGGGTACTCACAAAGACTTAGGATTGTTTTGCTATAAAAAAAAGTACGCAAAAAAATGGGTAGCCAAGTTTTCTCAAACTTGCCCAACTTCAAACTAATTTATGTAATTCGAAATTATTTTATTTTCAAAAATTTGTACAGTGATAATGCGTACTGAATACCCTCAATAATTATTCCGTCAACTTACACTAGCAAGAGGTCTTCGTAGTAGTAGCAGACCCCATCCGAACAGTAATCGCAGTCCGAGGGGCACGATTGCAAAACTTCCGCCCCCAAAGGTTCGAATTTTTGGACACCATTCGTATCATTTTCTTTAAGTGTGGCGCCCTGTACAGACCAAGCTGCTGTGACGATGATCCACAAAAATACGGCCAACTTTGCCATTATTGACGTGACTTTTTTTTCCGTTAGGTTGAAGTCGAAGGTTAAGTTGAAATTGAAAGTTCTTTTCGCGTAACCTTTACTCTACATAGGTTTGAAAACTTTTGTTAACTCGTATTATCTCTGATTGGCGTCATGGAAACAGTTTATCTTAATCCGCCCGTGTTGAACATACAATTTTAATGGAGCTTATAGTATAATAAATTAGCCGACGTAGTAATCTATAACTTTCTACATACCGTGCCGACCAAAAGCATTAACCGCGGATACGTTACTGCATAATTAATTTTGTTACATTCCAGAATCGGCCAGCAATGTTGAAATTTCTCGGTCTGATTGTGATAGGAGGAAACGATTCCTTCGTATTTGACAGCAAAGGAGAATGGCGTAATCCGAAAAAAATACACAAAGAGGGCATCCTCGAAGCCTTTATTTTGTTAGCAACGTTCGAAAAAAAGTTGACTAGAAATATTTTTTTCAAACTTGCCCAACTTTAAGGTAATTTTAAATTATTTTTTCAAAAATTATGTATCATGAAAATGAGTAACGAACATCAAGAATATTTTTTTGGCAATGTAAATCTAAATATTCAACAATTTGAAAATTTGAGTTGTGTTTATTAGATAATTTGTGTTATAAAATGGGACCTAGCTTTGCATGAGGAATTCGATCTAATGATATTCAAAATACCTGACATAATTTAATCAGCTAAAATAAATTCGCGGAAACCGGAGAAAACCGGAAACCGTAATCATGCATAATCCCTGTGGCAGACAGTATACATGCCGGACGTCGATGCCAGATAAGAACTAATCTATATACACATCTATTGGATGTCGTCACGATTATAAGCACGTATTTGTGCAAGAAACAAGAGTGATGAATGCAAAATTAATATTTGCAAAGTTTTGCACATCTCGTAGCCGAGTACATTAACAGGATTTATCGATAACTTGGTTTGATTCAACATAACATAACGTCACAAAAAGTTGCTCTCGTCACACATTTTCAACCTACCATGCACAATTTCATGGTAACGGAACACCCAGGTGGTACAAAAATTTTCACCAATTATCAAAAATGTAGTACTACTTTTTTGAAAGAGTGTTAATTTTTTTAAAAGTTACACAACTAAATTAACTTTGTACTGTATTTGAGGATAGTGTTATCTATGTATGCATTACTACTAATTCGTGCATGGAAAATCATAGATAGACTACCGACCGGTAATAATTTTGCATTATGTTATTTATATCATGTAAAGAAATGCATACTATTCAAGCTAAATTGTATCCACAGATGTATGACATAGGTCATCTTCACTCCAAAAGTATGCTTAATCCGAGAAGTAAGAATACGTCAGAAGGGGTAACGCATAAAGGATGTCATCCAATTAACCATGTGACCTCATATCTTTTCAACCCAATAAAATATTATACTCGCTTTCTTCCTGATCTGAACAAAGTTCTTGGAAAATAAATCTAATTCTTTATGCATGTTTCATCTTGAACTTATGTAAATCTTAATCAATTTAATTTTGGGCAAATCAAAGACATAATCCAGATTTCGCAATATTCCTATACTTCTTCTCCGCATTTGGGATGATCTTGAGCATTCACTTACATGCATACTACACTCTTCACCTTGAATAATCATATGCACAAAAATTACACCGTATTTACATAAATAGTGTCTAAGTTTCTGAATAAATCATTTCGAAATGAATAATAAAATATTACTTGTGCTATTTCTCATCGCCGGAGCTTCACTTTCAGTCACATCGCACTGTAAGTTCGTTAAAAAGTGTGTTAATTAGCATATTTATGTTTATGAATAAAAATGTTACCAGTTTGGACAATTTTCATCCTTTACAAAACCAGGGATTAATTCTGCATTTCATTAAAAAATCGTGCAACTTAAAGCTTTTAATGAGTCAATTCACGCAGTCTTTCCCAAATTCGTAACATCTGGAAAATCCATAAACGTTAATTATGTAATATGTTCAAACAAATTCCCGTTGTATTTTAAAAAATTTTACTCACATCAATGTATGCATACAAATTTTGTAAAAAATTCTAAAACTATCTATTTCAAATTAAAGATTTTACAAAAATTTACCAATGACTACGTGAATTGCCTCAGTATAATTAATTTTACACAAAACTACAAACTCCAAAACTCATTCGATTACATAAAGCACATGTACCGTCACTCACTTAAATTGAGTCTACATTGGGGGACCTCAGACACGAAAAAATCGTCGTTTAGAATTTCGCTTCATTTTTCGCTTATCGATAACATGGCCAAAATTATGAAAATTTCAAAATTTTGTTTCGATTGCAGCTAACCGACCTTAACCCCACTTTTGAGTTGAGTTTCTGTTCGCTTGCCCCAGAGCTCGCTTATCAGGAGGTAAGCGAAAAACGAAGCGAAATTTTAAGCGACGATTTTTTCGTGTCTGAGGTCCCCTATTATAAACATCCAAAATCTGTTGCAGTATTCTCAAATGACCCCAAACTCACAATTTTGCCTTTAATTAATTCCAGATTGGCGACCGAGCGGGCAAGTCATCCGACTCTGTGGAACTACTACGGCGGGCGGAGTCTGTAAAAATGCCTGTGGTTCGGGCGAGGTCGTAATTTCTTCGCCGTACTGCGGATACTGGTTGACCTGTTGTGGAACCGCGCCCACCACAACGACGGCGCGAACTACAAGCTCCACTCCGACGACGACGGATGAGAGTGGCATTATAGTTTAAAAAATTGAACTTTGCTTGATTTTAGGGTTCGATTAAAATAACAAAATTTGTGAGTTTCGACAATTTTTAATCTTTACGTACTGAATAAATCTGCCTTAATTAAGCTAAATTTTGAGATATTAACCATTTAAAGAGGACAAGTAAAAATCACGATGTCCATAATTCGTGTCACCAGGCGACAGTAGAATTACCTTAATTCGCGAGGGAACATTATCTCTAAGGGATCATTATTCTTAACCAAAAATGCCTGTCAAATATCTTAATTCGTGACAACTTTCTCGCAAAATTTGTTGACTTTAATCAAAATATTACAGCGAATTTCAACATACAAGACAAAAAATTTGGCGACAAAAATGACCAAAAAAAAGAACATAGGAACAAATTACCCATCATAAAGTATAACAAAATCAATAATCTTGAATGGTGTGATAATTATTGTCGAAAGTGGTGGGACAAAGTGCAACGCCACAAGTTTCACAATGAAATGCAGTATATGACTTGACGCCGTGCTTGGTACACACATGACACCTTCTCGAACCAATATGGAAAATGGAAAATATGGTAGCCGTTAAAACGGTCGATTATTAAGGGGTGAAACCCCTTTATCAGATTGATATGTCCGTCCGCGCGATAACTTAAGAACGTTTTAACATATTGATTTGAAATTTGGAACATAAATACCTTGTGTAAAAAGAAAGGTCAAGTTCGAATATGGGAAATGTAGATCACACCCTTCAAGGTCAAAAGGTCAACAAGACGGTAGACCTGATACGTATGTCAATTTTAACTGATGTTCTACCCCGAATTCAATGGAAAAATGTGAATTTAAATTGAAAAAATCAATTTAAATTGAGTTTACAATTTAACAATTTAACCCGATTAGCCGACCCGATTCGGAAAATCTTGCCCACCTTGGAAGATTGGGAGACCGGGTTTATTTACTGTTTCTAGGTTGACTTTACTCAAATTCATGCGAAGCATTAGAGAAGTTTGGGTCGAAGCTGATATGCATTTGGTTTAGGTTTGGCTTCAACATTTTTCGAAGCCAACCCAAAACAGATTGTCTTGGACAAAACAGATTTGGTCACAAGCTGAATTGACATCAGCTTAGCCAGCCCGCAAAATTTAAACTTTGTTGACATAAGAAATCTGGACTTGTATCTCGCTTTTTGGTGACATTACATTACTTAAATTATGGAAATACTTATAAGAAGCCGAAGTATTTTTGAATACAGCTACGTTAAATTACTTCTTCTGTACTATCAGAAAAAAAAGAAAACTGTAAAGCAGTTGCGATTTTCGTGGTTATTAACTCCAGACGCAAAGTACAAACTCTGGTTTCGTTTTGAAAAACACGATTTTCCGCGTTTGATTCAAGCCCTGGGCCTTCCTTCTTGCTTCAAATGCCTTAATGGATTGCGAGTTAGCACAGACGAAGGTAGCAAAAAAAGACGGGTGAAGATGCACCAAATAAAATGTATAAATACAATTTTTTTGTAGCACTTCATATTCTTCTCCGAAGACTGGCATATCCTAATCGCTTATCGGATTTGGAAGACATTTTTCGGCGCCCGCCCTCAGAGCTATCTGCAATTATAAATAGTATGCTGAACATGCTGTATGACAAGTTTCAACACTTACTGACAAACATCGACCACCCATGGATTGATCTTGACGGTTTCAGCTTAGCAATTCATCAACAAGGCGCACCATTAATGAATTGTGTTGGTTTTGTTGATGGTATAGTGTATTGCAAAAACTTAGGTCGAAAAATTAAGTAATTTCACTATTCATTTTACATATGTACAGGAACTTTACGACCTATGTGCCGCCCAGGACGAGATCAACGTGAGCTGTATAGTGGTCACAAAAGAATACACGGAATTAAGTTTCAATCCGTCGTCTTCCCTAATGGAATTATCGGCAACCTCAGAGGACCCTATCCTGGTCGTCGTCACGACTGCTACATGCTCAGCGACACAGGGCTTCTGCCACAACTAGAACGCATGATGCCACAATACTGCCTATATGGTGACCCAGCGTACCCTCTACGATCAACTTTGATCAGTCCTTACAAAGGAGCTCATTTATGCCCTGGGCAGCAATCCTTCAACACCGCTATGAGTACCGTTCGGCAATGTGTTGAATGGGAATTCGGGAAAACAATTTCGCTTTTTGCATTTTTGGATTACCGTAAAAATATGAAACTATATCTACAACCTGTTGGAAAATTGTATCTTGTCGGTGTGCTGCTTAAGAATTGTCACGCATGTATATATGGATCACAGACATCACAATATTTTCAATTACAGCCGCCAAGTTTAGAGACATATTTATACGTACAAGTTTAGATGTGTAATAAAGCTCATTAATACAAAATTGGGGAGAGAAGCCCTGGGTATTTACTGCATGACATTAATTATTAACTACTGACAATCATGCCCACCCCCGCCACTATTGTTTTTTAGCATTTCGAGCAGCACCATTTTTTCTTCCTTTTCACGCGCCCACTTATCTTCCTCCATCCTCATCTTGCGTTCATCCATGTCTTGTTGACGACGCTTAATGCGCAGCTCTTCCTCCATCAAATCAAGCAGTCGGTCATCCCGAGATCTCTTTGACTTTGCGTTAACGTTACTTTTACATTTACTAGAGGGGTTGTCTGGCTTGCAACTTCATCGTTGAATTGTTCTAAAAATATTTAAAAAGCCACCAATTAAATATATAAATTATGTCCACGGCAATTACCAGTCTTATCCGACGTGACCATATTTCGCATTGCCGCATCCCTAATCGCAGCTGCCTTCTCATCCCCGTTAGTAGTTTTCTCTGGTTTGGATTTGGTTTTTCGATGTGGTTTATCCATCCTATCAGTCAAATCCTGCAGTAACTTGGCTCGCTCATCGTACTCTTCTTCTGTGCCACTTCCATCTGGATCCTCTTCCATCTGGGTCGCGGGTGTGCCAGGGCAAGTCAAGTGTTTCCCAAGGCCTTACCGCCATGTGAGCCTCGTCCACTCACACCCCCCACCTGCGTGCCTGGTGACACCCCCTGCCACACCCGTCCCAGCAACGACAAGCTGAGCCATCAGGCGAAGACGGATCTCGCCGGACCCTGTGTACGGGAGGATCTACGCCATCGAGGACTCCCCCAGGTAAGACCCTTGATTGGTATATTGGGGTGGTGAGCGTGTGGGGGTTTTATTATCCCATAATTCAGCCTTTCCGAGGGTGGATTATGAAACCTTTGTGAAACAAGCGGACACCAATAAGGATGGGAAGATTAGTATTGATGAGGCCGTGGAATGGTTTATCAAAGAGGGGGCAAAGGGATAATAAAATTTCTTGGAAGTGTTCGAATATTTAAGTGGGAAGTCTTATTGGGATTTTAATCAAAGGAAAATTGTTAGTGACATTGAACATATAAAGTGAAGAGATGGATAAATAAATAAATTAGTTACTTAATTTTGTAAATAATCATTAATTGCAAGGATGAAAGTTTAAATTAAAATAAATGATTTGATCGAGTGTTCTTATTTTTACGTTTATTTTGGAATTATTTTAATTTGGTTTCTTCCATATAAAAAATATTATTTTTTGCATCATGATTTTGTCATACAGATATTAGATAGTAGAGTTAACATAAATTGATGTAAATATATTTTGCATATGCATAGAAAAAACATATTGGTCAGTGCTTGCCGTTATGCGGTCCAGAATGCTAAATAGGAGAAACAAAGTGAACTGCGAAATATTTGGCAATCTGTGATCAGTCTTTGGAATGTGGGTATGGGATGAAAGTCATTGTCAAGAAAAAACAACATAAAGTTTGACTGTCTCGGCAGTTACGATGTCTTAAATTAAGTAGAAAGATCACCGGGATTCTTAGGATTAGTTGGACATGTTTATTGATAAAGGAGATACAGGGTGCCTCAGATAATTAGGACTGATTAAGTTTCAACGAGGCAGAGATTTTACGGTTTGGATGCAACAGTAATAAATTTTATTGAACTTTCTTAATCGGAGGTAACGATCATATTTCTAAAAAATGTTGGAGTGTTTAGTTAATAATGTTTTGGCTTATAACGCGTTATGAGCAAAAACTAAACGTATTTATTTTTTGGTATTGTTTGTCAAACACTATCAGGAAGATTAATAAAATTTAATTTAAAATAATTAGGCCCAGATTTCATAATGGTTCATTTGCCTGGTGGCAAATTTAAAACAAATAGTTAATAAATAATTGCTATTGGAAACAGATTGCGGTTGGAATGTTATATACACAATTTTAATAATACTATAATACGCACAGTAATGATTGATGTATGAAGGTGTATTTGGTTATGATAGATTGGAAAAATAAAAAATTGGGGAAATATGAAACTAAAATAAATATAAGTATTATTTATTTGCAAGTTATGCAAACCTGTACGGAAGGCTACATGTCTCAATTACTTAAGCCTTATTTATCATCGACAAGTAAATAGTTGTTCTAATTGGTGCTTAACATTCTTTCACATTTGCTTTGGTTGTGCAAAGTGTGTAATTAATTTCCCAAGTGGTTTGTATTAGTATTCTATAAAGGAAAGTGTTTATTTTTTGGAAATTCTTGTAATGAGTGGTTAATTGTGAAGAGTGGTCTTGATAATGAAATTAGCATGGATACATATATTGCCTAAAAACTTACTTAAATGCCATGAATACTTTGCTTCTATTTGGTTAAAGTATCTTGCATAGTTTATGCTAAAAGGGTTTGGCTAAAAGAGTCGTTGACCTGTTAATTCTATAACCCTTTGTGGATAATTATTATGGCCCCAGTCTAACCTTGCACAATCCATACACAAAATAAGGATGGTTTCTTAAATTTTCCGTAAGATAATATATGGGAGGCCGATGGACAATGGCCGCACAATATATTATCCTACAGAAAATTTAAAAAAACCATCCATACTTTGTCTATTGATTACGCCAGGTTAGACTTGGTGTATAGTAATTAATGAATTTAAAGAAGGTTAGGTCTCGCAGAAATTAAATGTTACTTCAATACATAGTAAATATGTGAAGGTTGTGTAAATAATGCACTACGCGTGTGCATTTTTACTGGATTGGAAATAGTTTTCGGAAAGACAATCCAGTCTCAGCTACATGTAATGTTTTCGAAGTAAATGCAGTTTGCAATTTCGTGCAAGGATTGAGTGTCTAGGTTAGAAATAGATTCATTTACTCTTGAACACTTGGCATTGTTAGATTGGCCAGGTCATTTTGTTGCAAAGTTTGATTCAATTTTTCTGAAGTAAAGCAAGGTAAAAGAATTCTTTAAAGGATGAATTTTTATACCGGATTCCAATTATAAATTCTAATTTGTTACAAGCAAATAAATTTAAGAACTTTAAAATGTAGAGATATTTAATGATTTGTAAATTACGTAGGTGAGAAGCTTGAAGCTTTTCATACGGTTAAAAAATATTTAGTGTTTTCACTTTAAAAAAATTTAATAATTCAACATTTGACTTTCGAATGGAGAGATTAAGCGCGATAAGTTCTGCATCCTTTAGATAATTTAATCAGACAATTAAATTATTTGTAGTCGTTTCATATGTAACGATTTATTTTACCAGATTGAAATATATATCTTGAAGTTCAAAACATTTCAAATTTTTAATTCGACTCAAACAATTCTAATTTTTTTAATAGCCCTTGATATTATTTTTAGCCTTTAAACAATTAATTCTAGATGTCCGCAACCAACCAAAGTTTCACTAGGACCGAGGTTGAGGCAGCTTTCAAGAAAATGAAGACCTACGACGACACCGCGAAGATCATAAATGTCTCCCGATTTAGCGGAATTTCTTCAACTTCTTGGCTACAAATGTAGTCCCGAACAGTTGAAGGAATATCAAAAATTGTACAGGGAAACGTTCCATGGGAGAATTCCGCTGGAACTGATCGTCTCAGGAATGGCGGTACTTAACAAAGGCTCCGAATTATTAAGGCTCCTCATCACGGCTGCAGATTCGGATAAAGACCGATTCATTGACGAACACGAATTTGCAGAAATTGTCCAAGTTTTGATGGTCCATGGTCCAGAGTTTGTGAGAGTGGATTATAAAAATTTTGTGAAAGAAGCGGACACCAATAAGGATGGGAAAGTTAGTATTGATGAGGCCGTGGAGTGGTTTATAAGTCAGGAGAAGAAGGGGTGAAATAGTTGTGGGGGAAATTTGAAAAGAAATGTTTCTAGAATTATGGATACGGTTGGAGAAATAAAAATTTAATTGATGAAAATGATGCTTAGGAAATAGAATTTATGTAAAAAAAATTGTTTGAGGAGTGATAATTTTTGGGTGGAAAATGATTATTAAATCTGTATTGAAATATTTGAGATGAAATTGGAGTCCTTTAACAATTCGATTTCTGTGGATTAACTTAATCGCTGAATTTGTACTAATGTGAATCTCAACCTAATAATTTTTATGTTGCAAAATTGCTAACCAGAAACTGTTGCAAATACTTGATAATACAATTACATTATTCTTATCTCGAATAATTATATACTCTAACTGGATCGCAAACAACATTACTGGATTTATTTGTAATTATTACTAGATATTAACTTCCACGCTATGGCGCCGTCCATAAATTATGTAACGCAAGGGGGGGGGGTGGGGGGATCCATGATTTGCGTTACACAGAGTTACGGAGGGGGGTGGGGGGCTCGAGGCCAAGCGTTACATAACTCTTAGTAAAATTTTTATTAAAAACACGACTTATGTAATTTTGCATGAATGCATAAATCGCGATGAGAAATGTGCAACAAACCGCGCGGTTTGGTTGAGTATCTCTACCTTCGAATTGCAAAGGGTCCCACACAATGTGTATTTACTTATATTTATTATTAGTAATTAAAAATGGACAAAGGGAAGTTATATAGAGAATTTTTTAATGCATTTAAAAGTGCGCACCCCACAATTCCTGCACACAAAGACTTGGACAAACGGGTGGGGGAAGTATGGCGTGACATCAAACATAAACACGATTTCGAATGTTTAGCAAATGAACTTATTAACAAATGGACACTTGCGGCAAATCAGAAAAAGATAACTCTCGATAAATTTTGGGTGAGTAAATTTACTCAACATAAAAATCAAATTACACTTATTGGAGGAATTTGAACATTTGCAGGGAAATCTTCCGAAGAAGCAAAATTCCACTGTCCACGTGGTCCCAATCGCGACCCAATGTATGCCGACAAGTGAGGAAAGCTCCGACGTCGGGGATATTAGTTCTGACGAACAAGAAACGCCCACTGCTCCAACCCCTGTGCAAGACAAGCTCCGCAAAAAAATTTCAACTTTGCAGACGGACATCTTATATCTACAG